ATGACTGCTGGAGCTGAACCCAGGACAATGGACCTTCACTCTTGCTGCAGGACAAGGGCACGGAATGATGCACCTCCTGCCCCAGCTGACAGCAGAGGGATCTGACACCCGGGGAGCCAGCTTTTAAGTAAAGCACCACACTCAGCCATCCGGATGCAAACCCCACAGCATCTTCACCCTCCTCCGGTGCCCCACAAAGCCCAGCAGCAAAAGGATCCCATCAACTTTGGGATGAGAGATGGATGCTCCGAGTCACGTCCGAGCCCAGATCTAAGCACAGGGAGGAGCAGGGCTGCTGCCTTAGCTCAGCTTTTCTCCCAGCCCTTCATTGCTCCCGAGCCAGTGCAGAAAGAAGTAGTTTTGAGCCACATGAATGAAATTGCAAGGCAGCAGCTTTCATGGGGATGCTGCCTCGCTCATCAGGGAGTTTCATGGGAAAGCGAAACAAAAGAGCAGTGTGTGGCTTAAAAAGAGCTGAAGGAAAAGCAAAAGCACCCAGGCAGCATTTTGTGACTCCCCTGTGAACCTGAAACACACAAAGGTGCGAGGGATGGAGATGTCAGTGTGTCTGCATTAAGGAATTCATCACTCAACACCTCTTGGTGACCTGGTGGCCAAGCTGAGCCTGGCAGTCCTGGTTCGGTGGCACTGAGGCATCTACTGAGCCCTAGTTTTGAATCAGGTCCTTCACCCATTGCCTCAAGCTTCATCCTAGAAAGGCCTTATCCCAAAGTCCCCTCCTAAAGCCAAGCAAGAGGGACAGGGCTTCCCTGGCTCCTCTTTCTGCTGCTGTCCTGCAGGCAGCAGAGTGTCCTGGGTGCAGATACGTGCTCTGGTGGAAGCTGCTCCTGCTTCAGCCCTTTCCTTCCAAAAAGGAACTTAACTGTTGCTTCTCTTTGCCCTGAAGGAAAGGTGCTTCAGGAATGGGTTTATCCCCATGTTATCCTGACCTGCCTCCAATGCCTACCACAGCAGTTACGCACAGGATCACTTCGCAGCACAATTAGCATCTGCTACTGCAGGACAAAGAATCAGCTCCCTTTATTCAGGGAGCTGGGAGTGCTTTGCAAGCCTTAATTTCAGCCTCTCAACAAGCCCAAACTTTATAGTCTTAGCAGTGTCTTTCTGCTTGTCAGATCAGCTCTCGGGGTGACCAGGCAACCCAGCCTAAGCCCTGGATCTAGACCCACCATGTTCCCCCTTCGTGCCTGAACTCAAACTCTGCAGTGTACGTTGGGCACCTTCTTGGCCACTCTCCAGCTGATGCCTGCCAACGTCTCCTGGCTTGAGCCAGTGACCCAGACTTGCAAGAGATAAAGATCAAGGACACAGTGTTTTGAGCCAGTGTTCTGAGGAACAGGACTGCTGGATCCTGTGCACAGGCTGGGAGGAAGGATAAGCAACTCCAACCACACGAGACAGCTCCAGCAGAGCAGAGCCCCAAGGTCAAGTTAGAGCTGCAATGCCAGAACACACATTTCTCTGTAAGCAGGAGAAACAAAGCTCACTACAAACCTCACGGAAACCAAGCAGCATCTCTCCTACTACCTTCAATAAGCATAAAGGGAGGTCCTCTGACAGGGTGGGTAGCTCTCACCATGCTAAGAACAGCAGCACACGATGCACGTCACACCACAAAGGAAACGTTCACAACCACGCTACCACTATGGCCCTTTGTGAGAGCCACAACCTCTGCTCTTTGGAGGTTGGAAGAATCAACAAGGATCCCTCTGTCTTGCTCCCCAGAAGCTCTGGATCCCTAGATCTCTGTCAGTGGACGAGCCAAAGCGCTATTTGTGTGGGATAGATAAGGAAAGCAAACATACCCCGATAACCTCTTCCCTGGTACGCAGCAGGCTGAAGGTTGCCCCCACAGGCAGGATGCACGTTCTGTACCAAAGGCCTTAAATTTGCCCGGGTCTGGTTAAAAATAAACTCTGGGTCAGTGCTCTGCCACAGCAACGTGTTCCACAGCCCCAGTTTGCTCCCATTCCCTCCCACTGCCAAGGCAAGGCTGGATGGGGCAGCCCTGGCCCATGGGGTCATACGAGTTCCCTCCCAATTTCTTTCATGCCAGTCGGTTAATTTTCAAGCTGAAAAGGACCACCATTGGCAAAGTTTGACTTCATTCCCTTGGGATACACCCACCACGGCCTTCCACAAGGGCTCAGGCTGTTCGTTTCCTGACTGGAGCACTCTGATGGGCATTTTGGTACATGGTTGATGTCTGCAGCCCCATCCAGGCAACACATACGAAAGAGCAAAAGCTGATTTGGGGACTAAACAGCTTCTTTCAGGCCATTTTTTCCCATCTCTGATAAGAACCACATGCAGACACAACAGTTTAGCAACGACGTGAGGTGCAAACATCCCCCAGAGCAGTTACATGAGGCAATTCTCCAGGGGCAGAGTGAAAAGCTCTCTTTTACTAAGTTCCAAGAGGGGGGTTGGAACTGGATGATGTTAAGGTCCTTTCCAACCCAAACCATTCTATGATTCTACAAGTCTATGAAATGCTTTTTGGACAGTGACTCCTGCTGGAAACGTGAAGCCAGCACAGCTACAGCCCAGGCTTTGGAGAGCAGTGATGTCCCCATGCAGGGACCAGCATTATCCCCATGGCCAGGGCTTGCACAGCACCTTCCTCTCCAGCAGCTCTTGAGGGAAACACTGAAATACAGCAGCAACTCCTTCCGCAGCCTCCTCAGAGAGGAAATGTGAAATACCAGGTGAGCAGCCTGGCACAATGTTGCTCCCTCTCTGTGAGATACCACAGGGTTTTCCCACGCTAAAGCAGCATGTCCTTGGCTTTGGTTTTGGAGAGTCTGCAACACTGAACCACATTTGAGGCTGGCACCAGCTGGAAGCAACTGTTTCACTCCTTTGGTTGAAGAGCACTTGGTTTTATCTTCACATCATCAGAGAGGCACCAAACACAATGTATGTGCCAAACATCAGCTCTGTGCTGGCAAGCCCCGTTCTTCCAGGATCCTCTTCACACTCTCCACAATGGTCCACACCTCTGCCATGGCACCTTGACCTGCAAGGGAACAGCAAAACCACACACAGTGAAACCACAACAGCACAAGAGGGACGTGGAGCTGCTGGAGCGAGGCCAGAGGAGGCCCCGGAGCTGCTGTGAGGGCTGGAGCAGCTCTGCTCTTGGAGCCAGGCTGAGAGAGCTGGGCTGGGGCAGCTGGAGAAGAGAAGGCTCCTGGAGGGGACACCTTAGAGCAGCTCCAGGGCCTAAAGGAGCTCCAGGAAACCTGGAGAGGGGCTTTGGACAAGGGATGTAGGGACAGGCCAAGGGGAATGGCTTTAACCTGCCAGAGGGAAGACTGAGATGAGCTCTGGGGCAGAAGCTCTTCCCTGTGAGGGTGCTGAGGCGCTGGCACAG